GGCAACAATAAATTTGAAGTATTAAGAAATGTTGCTTGCACCCATGAAACAGGCCTTAAAGGCTTTCACAAAATAATATCAGTCACTTAGGAAATGGTATTAAAAAATAAGAAATTAACTACTCTACAATGAATAGGCCTTAAGGGCTTTCAACAAAATAATATCAGTCACTGAGGAAATGGTAATAAAAAATAAGAAATTAAATACTCTACAATGAATAGGCCTTAAGGGCACTCAACAAAATTATAGCACTCCAACAGATGCACACTTCCTAACCTAACTTAACCACTACTCTGGGGAACAAGGTTATACCTGAGATCAGAATTATGAAGAACAATTAGATGCATTAAAAGAATCAAATCACAGTATCACTCTGGTTCCACTTAATGACACACACATTCAAAAAACACTACTCTCAAAATTATTTAAGAAATATTAAACTACACACGTCAAGATAATATCAGTAACTGAGAAATGGTATTAACTACACCCGTAATAAGGAAGATAAAATGTTCCTCTAGGTATCTCCTAGAGTCGTAGACTCACGGTCTCAGTGTGTGACCATTAATATACTCAGATAGCCTCAGTGTACTCCCAGTGCGTCCATGGGCAGGAAGAGAGAACGCCAGCAGGTGTCTATGGCCAGTAGGTAACACTTCTAGCTGACCGAGGACACGTGGTGTTGTGCACCCGAGTGGTAAGAACTGATCACCCACTGCTGATGCTGGTCCCGTCGTTTTAGTTGTCGGGAGCACTCGTTCACTCAAGAGATCCTTTGCTACCCCGCTAAACAGTGACAGGCCTACACTGATCGGTCCAATGGCGACAATCGCCACCCTCAATCATCAACGGCAGTCTCAAACGGCAGTCAATCTCTCGCAGTCAACTCCGGTCAACGCCGGTCAACTCCAGTCAAGTGGGTTCTGACGGAAACCCTGAAATGAACTCACTGTTAGCTCTAGTTAACTTTACCACTGCCCTATCTAAACCCTGTCCGAGATTGAATGAGACTTACTTGTTATACTGCCATAGCGCAGCACAGGTGACTAGGCCACGTGACTATTTCTGTGACAGACGCGCAGGGACGTCTTGTTTTGTATGACTCCTCCCAGCGACTGAGAGAGAGGCAGCGTCGCGTCTTCTCAAGGCGTTAGCTTAGGTCTACGTGACATATTTTCCGCCTAACTAATAACTCCTTGGGACACCCGTAACATTATTCAGACTGATAAACGATCTATAATAATTTCAAATTCAATAATAGTCCCTTACTTCATGAATCGCATCATTATTAATTCGGTGAATTACATTTAATATCATATAGGCCTAGTTCCGCAATCTCTCGCTATGAGCAGGCAGCGCTCTCTCCCCTCAGATGACCTTGAACGCTCAGTATCGCTAATGGCGGGGCATTTGAAATTACTCTGAAATTTCTGAGTATTACATATATATATATATATATATATATATATATATATATATATATATATATATATATATATATATATATATATATATATATATATATATGTGCAAGTAAATCACTGTAGGTGCGCGTGATCTAGGTATAAGCTGATAACCATAAGGAAAGAAGAAAACACGAAGTTCTCAAGCGCTTTCGTGCAATTCACATCTTCAGGGGTGAGTACAGACTGTACTCACCCCTGTACTAGTAAACTCACAGACTGTACTAGTAAGCTAGTTAGCATAGCATAACCAAACAGCCTTGCAAGGACCAATAGGTCTGTATATAACACTGCCCTGCATAGTTTTTGAGGTTTGTGTATTATTAAGCTTTTCTGGGTGTATTTTGCATGCTGATCTCAAAAATGTTATCCATTTTGCTCAATCAGGTCAGAATTTTGTGTTATAGCATTTTAAGCGGAGATTCAGGTAAAATATTGGCATTTTTCGCTCAAAATGGGGTCCTCATATTCGTTCATTAAAAAAATCATCCGAGACATTGGCAAGCCTCACAGAAAAGATTTCGGTCAGTTTTAATGCCCTTACGATGCATTTAAATACACCCACGTGCTCGCCGGCCATTTAAATGTCCACCATGACACAAAGGAAAAGAGTATATGTCCGTGTTTTTTTACATATATTTTTTCACAATTAAATTTCTTTTTCATCTGGTGGTACATGGCATGTTTCCTCTGTCTGTGGGATAGTCGAGCAGACAAGCAGCACTACATGCAATGTGACTGGCCTGCAAGAAGTGGACTTACTCCAGGTTCTCACAATGTTGTTGCCCATGCTCTGGTGAATCCGCAGAACATTCTTCTTCCGCCACTGCACATCAAGCTCGGTCTGTTCAAAAACTTTGTAAAGGCACTGGACAAAAAAAGCCAGGCTTTCAATTTTCTGAAAGAAAAATTTCCAAAAGTCAGTGAGGCAAAGCTGAATGCAGGAATTTTTGATGGCCCTCAGATCAGAGAGCTTTTCAAAGATCCCAAGTTTGATTGCAGCATGGATGTAAATGAGAAGAAAGCCTGGCATGCCTTTAAGTCTATTGTCTCCAATTTTCTTGGCAACTACAGAAGTCCAGAGTATGAACGAGTTGTTGAGGACCTACTTCTGAGCTACAAAGTTCTTGGTGCACGCATGTCCATCAAGATGCACTTCCTTAGCTCCCACTTGGACTACTTTCCAGAGAACTGTGGTGATGTGAGTGAGGAACAAGGAGAACGCTTCCATCAAGATATCCATGTAATGGAGGAGGGGTACCAGGGTCGCTGGGATATCAACGTGCTCGCCGACTACTGTTAGTGTCTGAAACGGGACGCCCCAGACACCAACCACCAAAGAAATTCTCTGCGACAGCCATTTATGCAGGTCTAACTGTAAAGGTATCTATGTAGTTGACATATTTTGGTCCTATGTGTTGTGGTTACATTTCTTATGATATATTTTGCATAAAAATTTTGACATCATATTTAAGAATTTCGATTTTTTCCTAATTCCCATAGCATAAAAATCTGACCTAATTGGGCAAAATGAATGGCATTTTTGGAATCAGCACGCAAAATACATAAAGAATCAGCTAAGAAACCCCGCACCTCATGAATTTTTTTTCAAATGCAGCCCAGTTATGCGTGTGCACGTGCTAAAATGACCTAGTATATTTTACTAATGTCTCATTGTCCATGGGTTTTCTTACAGTTTGGCCGAACATCTGCAGCAATCTGGTAGATTCCATGCCCACCAGATTGCATGAAGTTATAGCAGCAGATGGAGGTTGGACACGATATTAACCTGTGGTCAAGAATTAAATCTTCGCCCACGACGGTGCCTTGTAGGGGGTGGCGGGGGAGTTAGCTCTCTGGTGTAACCTCGTTGGGGCCCCATAGACTATGTGGTTTTACGTCACTTTGCATAAATATACTTACAAAATCTATGCATTAATATGCATAACTCTTGGGAATCTGTCCAGACATTAAATATATATTATATCCTGTTACCGCAAGCGGTACATAATTATGATGACATATAAACAAATGTTATGTTAGGCTGTAACTCACAATGTAGAGTGTTGAGATGGTTGAAGATGAGAGGCCCAGGAGGAGGTTGGAGGGTGTGAAGGGAGTTTGTTTATGTATAATTATAATCACCTGACTCAGCCATAGCTGACCAGCCAGGGGGCCAGGCTATAGGGTGGGCATTTCAGTATAGCTACCCATATCTTAGAGTCAACACCTACCCTGGCTTCTCTCTAGACTTTCAACACGTAAGTTTAATTAGTACTTATTGTGTACACAGGTAGACTGTGTCATTGTTTTTGTGTTAGACTAATTACATAGCCATGATTGTTATGTAAATATATATTGGATTAAACATTTATCACCCGGTGTTGAACCCAAATAAGCCAAACAAAGTACGCATAGCTTTTGACCGTGTAGCCAAACACAAGAGGACATCGGTGAACGATCAGGTACTACAAGGTCCAGACTTCAACAACAAATTACTTGAAGTCCTGTTTAGGTTTCGCCAAGGAACTACAGCCATCATGGCAGATGTGGAGGCGATGTACCATCAAATCCATTTAGCGCCAGAACATCGAGATCCGTTAAGATTCCTCTGGTGGGAGAATGGGGACCTGAGTAGAGATGAAGATGCACATCTTTGGTGGGGTGTGGAGCCCTTCATGTGCAACTTACGCTCTCCGGCGCACATTCCAAGACCACAGATCCGAGTTTCCCGACATGGTGGCGCAAGCAGAAGTCAACTTCTACGTTGACGACCTGCTCATGTCGCTGGACTCATCAAATGAAGCATCAATGTTAGCGTGTCAGCTTCGAAGACTGTTGGCGTGTGGAGGATTTCGGTTAACTAAGTGGGCCAGTAATCACAAAGGAGTGTTGGCTACCATCCCACCGGAGGAGAGGCAAAATGCACTGAAGGAAATTGATCTGAGGCAAGACAAATTGCCAATGGAGCGAGCCCTGGGGGTTAGGTGGCTCCTGGAAGGTGATCAGCTCGCCATCAAGGTGCAACCAAACTCAAGGCCAGCGACCAGGAGAGGAGTACTAAGCCTGGTCAGTTCTATTTATGACCCACTGGGGTTCGTGGCTCCATTCATCATCAGGGCTAAAATATTATTTCAGTGTGAATGCAGGCGTCGATTAGGGTGGGACGAACCTTTGTCGGCTGTTAATCACACGACCTGGAGCACCTGGCTAGGAGAACTGGCCCACCTAGGGAAATTAAGGGTACCCAGATGCCTAAAAACAGCATGTGCTAAAGAAATCATCTCGGCACAGTTGCACGCCTTCTGCAATGCATCGCAGGCTGCTTACGGTGCGGTGACCTATCTGAGAATGGTAGACTCTGGCGGAAGTATCCAGTGCTCTATCGTGCACGGATGGGCCAAGCTGGCCCCACTCAAGCAACTGACAATACCAAGGCTGGAACTTTGTGCAGCTGTCCTGGCAGTGAACGCTGATCGACCGATTCGCTGAGAAATGACCATGACCATACACGAATCTTATTTTTGGACGGATAGCATGCTAGTCTTGCAGTACATCGCCGATTCGAGCAGACGATTTCAAACGTTTGTAGCCAACAGGATAGCAGTCATACAAGAGCTGTCAAGAACTGACCAGTGGAGACATGTCGGCACATCGCTGAACCCAGCAGATGATGCAACTAGGGGATTACCTGTCCTGGACCTGGTTGCAGGATCTCGGTGGATACGAGGTCCTGACTTTCTACTCAGTGTTCAAGAACGGTGGCCAAAGGGAAAGGAACTGCCAGCAGTTCTGAACGACTTACCGGAGGTGAAACGCGAAGTACACCAGAGATCTGTAGTTGCTCTGGCAGTGAGCAAGCAGTCAAAGTGGTCCCTCGCCAAACTGTGGCTCAGGTACTCATCATGGCACCGCTTGGTGAAAGGGGTGGCATGGATTAAAAGGTTCATTTGGTGGCTTGGGTCCAGTACAAGGACCTCAGACCTGCGCCTCAAACTGAAGAGGCTAAGCACTGAGGAACTACAGTCGGCTGAGCAGACAATTATAAAATTGGTGCAGAAAGAGGCTTATGAGAAAGAAATCCAAACTGTCATAAAGGGTGAGCTGCCGAAGGACAATAAGCTATATAAACTGGAACCTTACTTGGACGAGCGAACGTTGCTCAGATCAAAGGGAAGAATTAAAGGAACCCTTCTTGGGCGAAGTGGTGAGGAGCCAATCTTGCTGCCTAGAGACCACCACATCAGTGAAATCATAGTGCGGGAGATGCACGAAGAGAGAGCCGGACATGCCGGACGAGAACACACGATGGCGTGTGTGAGGCAAAGGTATTGGATTCCCCAGGGCAGACGCTTGCTTGATAGAATCATACGATGCTGTGTAGTGTGCCGACGGAACAACTGGAGAAGTCGGCATCAAAGGCAAGCTGACTTACCAATAGATCGTGTCACTCCTGGAAAGGCTCCATTTGCTTACACTGGAACGGACTGTTTTGGTCCATTCATTATCAAGGTAGGGAGGAAACAGGTTAAGCGCTGGGGATGTCTGTTTACATGTCTAACTATTAGGGCTGTTCATCTAGAAGTCTTGGCCTCATTAGACGCAGATGCCTTCCTCAACGCAATAACAAGGTTCTCACGACGCAGAGGTACACCAGAGCGTATTAGGTCGGATAATGGGACAAACATGGTACGGGCAGCCAAAGAGCTCAAACTGGCAGTGAAAAGTTGGGAACAAGATGACAGACTCAGAGGTGCCTTACTGAAAGCAGATATTGACTGGGTCTTCAATCCACCAGCTGCCCCATACATGGGGGGAGTATGGGAAAGGCAGATTCGCACAGTGAAGAAGGTTCTGCAGGCGATTGTGGGCTCACAAGTTTTAGACGATGAACGTCTGCAAACACTGTTCTGTGAAGTGGAAGCCATAGTTAACGAGAGGCCAATCACCCCAGTTCCAAACACGCCAAATGAACCAAAGGCTCTCACTCCTGCTGATCTTTTGCACTTAAGTCAAAAGGGTAATCTTCCCTTAGGTGGAAGGTCAATAGGCGAATCATACCACAGAAGGTGAAAGCATGTCCAGTACCTTGCAGATCAATTTTGGAAGCGCTGGCTGACGGAGTACTTCCCTCAACTCAGAACTCGACAAGTGCATTTCAGACCACGGAGCAACTTTCGCCCTGGTGACCTAGTCATTATAGCAGAAGCAAATAGTCCACGCAACAAATGGCACCTTGGTCGAGTGATGGAAATCAAGGCTGGCGAGAATGGACTTGTCCGACAGGCAGTGGTTAAGACGTCGACGTCCACAATGCTGCGACCTGTGACAAAATTATGCTCGTTGGAGGGAGCAATGGAAAGGGTTAACGGAGTCGGCCAGGAGAATGAATTGGGTGTCCACACACGAAGATGGTGATGTGCGAACGTCAAAGGACCGAGATGTCCTAAGGAACTGATAAGTACCACAAGCCTGAGGGCAGCTTAGTCACAAGAATGTGACAAAGTTAAATACCACCAGCCTGAGGGCAGCATAGTCACGAGAACGTGACAAAATTAAAGATAAATACCACCAGCCTGAGGGCAGCTTAGTCACGAGAATGTGACAAAGTTAAAGTTAAATACCACCAGCCTGAGGGCAGCTTAGTCACGAGAATGTGACAAAGTTAAAGTTAAATACCACCAGCCTGAGGGCAGCTTAGTCACGAGAACGTGACAAAGTTAAAGTTAAATACCACCAGCCTGAGGGCAGCATAGTCACGAGAACGTGACAAAGTTAAAGTTAAATACCACCAGCCTGAGGGCAGCTTAGTCACGAGAACGTGACAAAGTTAAATACCACTAGCCTGAGGGCAGCATAGTCACGAGAATGTGACAAAATTAAAGTTAAAATACCACCAGCCTGAGGGCAGCTTAGTCACAAGGACGTGACAAAGTTAAATACCACCAGCCTGAGGGCAGCATAGTCGCATGAATGTGACAAACTTAAGTATCAAAGGCCTGATCTGGTCTTGAGCGTGAACGCTCAACGGAGTGGGTGTTACAGCAAGCGGTACATAATTATGATGACATATAAACAAATGTTATGTTAGGCTGTAACTCACAATGTAGAGTGTTGAGATGGTTGAAGATGAGAGGCCCAGAAGGAGGTTGGAGGGTGTGAAGGGAGTTTGTTTATGTATAATTATAATCACCTGACTCAGCCATAGCTGACCAGCCAAGGGGCCAGGCTATAGGGTGGGCATTTCAGTATAGTTACCCATGAGTCAACACCTACCCTGGCTTCTCTCTAGACTTTCAACACGTAAGTTTAATTAGTACTTATTGTGTACACAGGTAGACTGTGTCATTGTTTTTGTGTTAGACTAATTACATAGGCATGATTGTTATGTAAATATATATTGGATTAAACATTTATGTAAGAGTGCCTATGTATGACTTACTTGAAATACTAAATGAATTGTATTCAACAGGTTTGACCGAATTATAATGTTCGTGTACGACGTGAGAAGTATTATTCACCCTCTAACCGTCTCATTGGCGGTTACATATACTACAATAATCACATAGATATGTTTACAATGTTTATGCATAATAAATGTGAAAAATGTTTTTTGGGGTTTCAATTAACCAATAGTCATGCCTACAAAACAATCTTGATGCTCTAAGTGCATGTATGTGTTAAATAACGAGTAACTGATCCACATTATTTTGGTAAATAAAGAAATGAAAAGCAAGCACTTAGCCATATGGATATAGTTACACGGAAGAAGGGAAATAAGGATGAACCATGGTTTTGATGGAAACAATGTGCTCTGGGACGATGCTCACAATGATGAATGGGAGAAACCTCTTTATGAAACATCTTACCTACTAAGGATGAAGCTTAATGTTACAGAACACACACACACACACACACACACACACACACACAGTGTAACTTTGTGTGACGCATTGTCTGACTTGGGGTGGCTTTGAGCGAACCATACACTTGATATTACAATTTATGTATCCTTCCTGTCCATGATTTACAACAATAACTGTAGGGTAAAAGTTACAATATAATACTAATAACACTGTCATGTATTGATACTATGACTAGTTACCAAGATACAGAGCACGATGAACATAACATGATAATGATAGTGAAGCCTGGAAGGGTTCATATCATAACTTGTGTGTTCGTGTGTATGTTGCCCCGTGAGAGTTACTGTGGGCCTCCATGTGCCCAGGTGGGATGGTCAAAGTATTACACTATAAGTGTGTCAAATGAGGAGTGACTGACCCACATGTAATTTAAGGTTTTTGAAATATGTAGTTAAATTAAACACGATTTTTCATATAGTTACACGAATGATGGGAAATAAAAGATATAGATGGGGTGTGGTGGAATCATAGGGGTCTGGCCACAAGTGCTGTAAACGTTGTGTGGATTCACTGGGTGGTTTGGAAGTGTTTATTTCCATTCATACTTTCGTAACTACAACCTATGGTAATTTTTCTTCGTGTTCATATATAATGAACATAATGCAGAGTATAAAATGTCAAATTCAATAATTATACATAATATCATCTATACAGCCATACTATGACTGTGTGTGTTCGTGCATGTGTTGCCTCGTGCCCAGAAAGGACACTGTACTAACCTACAGCACCGCCCCAGGTGGGCTAGAGAATATGGTTTCCGAGTGTACATTCACCTCAAGGCCGAAATGTGCATACGCATCTGCATAGGTGTTTAGGATCTCTTGTAGGTCGCGTTCAGTGTGAACAACAAGGGTGAGGTCATTTGCATATTGAAGTTCAGTAACAGAAGCTGCCGACACCTTTGTTCTTGCCTGAAGTCGTCTTATGTTGAAATGACCCCCCTTTACCCAGAATAGGATGTTCACCCCACCGGCTAAATTGGCACTGGCACGAGTAAGGAAGGCAGCCAAGAAAAGAGAAAAAAAAATTGGTGCCAGTACACACCCTTGTTTAACCCTTGTGCAAGACACTGCTGTTCATGCCATCGTGGAGTTGCTTCACAATGGCGATGAATTTTGGTGAGCAACCAAAACGGCTGAGGGTCCAAGAGAGGGCTTCCCTGTTGAACGAGTCGAATGCCTTGGTTAGGTCGATGAAAGACATGTACAGGTCACGACATTGTTCTCTGCACTTTTCCTGTATCTGATGGGCAGCAAAGATCATTATCAATGGTGCCAAGTGATGGTCCAAAGCTGCATTGAGATTCTGGGAAGAAGTTTTCTGCCTCAGGATAAAGTCTGTTTAGGAGGACTCGGGTGATAATCTTGCCAGCAACGGAGAGCAGCGAGATCCCGTTATAGTTGCCACAGTCTGACCGGTCTCCCTTGTTCTTATAAATATTGACAATAGAGGCATCTTTAAGAGTTTGGGGGATTTCCTACTTTTCCCATATATTATCCAGGAGAGAGAGGAGACGGCTGGTAAGCAGTGGTCCTCCTGCTTTATACACCTCAGCTGGGATTCCATCAGGCCCTGAGGCTTTGTTATTTTTCATCTGTTTTTCAACTGTTTGACGGCAGTAGCCACTTCATCCAGGGATGGAGCATAACTGAGGTGGGTCAGTTCCGGATGCTGAGGGACCTGCTGGGTAGTCAGGACATGTACATCAGTGTTTCGATTGATCAGTGAATGGTAGTGCACTTTCCAGCGTTGAAGGAGGCCTTCATTGTCTTTAATTATGAAGTAACCACCAGAGGAGCGGAGGGGGGCTGCGCCACGGATCATTGGCTCATAAAATGTTTTAATGGAATTAAAAAATTCGCACATCTTGTGCTGATCTACAAGTTTTCATGCGCCACATGCTTTATTTTTAAGCCAGTCGTTCTTTAGATTGTGAAGTTTCCGCTGGGCCACCGCTTTCTTCTTGCGGAAGGTATCAGCTTTGGTCCGAGACTGACGGTTGTTCTGCAAGTCAGTAAAAGCAGCACGTTTACCATCAATGAGTACATTGATTGCCGGGTCATTTTCATCAAACCAGTCCTGGTGTATTCTTCAATCTGTCCGAGGGTCTCTCTGCAGGTTTTTGTCATGACAGTGTTAAGAATACAGTATATAGTCTCGATTTACGCGGATTTCGTTTACTCGTTTGGTCATTTACGCGGCACCTTGCCAGACCGACAATTTTTATTTACGCGGTTCATTCCATCATTTATGCGGGAAGCGGCGCAGGCAGGGTGCGCACAAGGTCGCCTAGTCAACAAAACATTACCGAGTTCTTCACCCGCCACCCACCACAGCCAGAGCAAGTCATTGACAGTGATAGTGATAGTGAGGATATGGACTTTGAGGGGTTTGACAAAGAAGCCCTGCAAGCCTCTGTGGTGGATAGTGATACAGGTGATACAAGTGATACAGGTGAGGGCCAATAATCTACCCTCTGTCTCAGAACCAACCCCAATCCCTGTGTACCCAGCCATCTCTTCTACTAAGTAAGTGTTAAAAACCCTAATATTATTGATGTTTCTCTTAAATATTAATTGTGTGTGCATACCATCATAAAATTAAGATGTTATTTTTACTACAAGTACTATTGTGTCGGAAAAAGTGTAGTTTGGGGATCGGCCCAGTCTCTATTTCAATTAATCCCATATGTTCTGTTATTTCGTTTACGCGTTTCTCGCTTTACCCGGACCTCCACGGGTTCAATTGACAGCGTAAATGAAGATTATACTGTATCCCATTCAGCACTGGGATTTGCGTTGTTTGCTGTTGGGTTGTTTATCAGCCCATGTTCGAGCTGCTCTATGAAAGCATGTGCTACCGATGGATCCTTCAGACACTTACTGTTAAAATCTCTTCTGGAGGGTTGCTGCCTTCGCCATTTTGGGGCAACGTGAAGTGAGAGCTTGGCTCTGACAAGTCGATGATCAGTGTCAGAGAGGTCTGAGCCACGCATGGCATAGGTGATGATGACATCTCAGCGATCTCATTCTCTGACAATGATGCATTCTATGAGATGCCAGTGTTTGGAACGTGGGTGTTGCCACGAACTCTTGAACTTGTCGACCTGCCTAAACGAGGTACTGTATTGGTGATAGTGAGGTTGTG